TGGGTCTTCCCCCCGTCTGCTGGAATGATGAGGGGACACCAGTCTGCTGGAAAGATGAAGGCACCTGGGTCGGTGGGAAAGGGAAACTAGATCCTCCCGCATGCTGGAAGGAAGATGGCATCTGAGTCTGTGGGAAAGGAACACTAGATCCTCCCGCCTGCTGGAAGGATGACGGCATCTGGGTCGGTGGGAAAGGGAAACTAGATCCTCCCACATGCTGGAAGGAAGACGGCATCTGAGTCTGTGGGAAAAGGAAACCGGGGCCTCCAGGTGGCACAAAAGATGCAGGTACCCCAGACGGGAATGTATGGGAGGAGAGTAATGGGACAAAACCCTAAGTACTGGCCAGGGACATAGGATCAACCTGACTCTGAGGGGGTGGGCACATGGCTGAGTGAGGAGACTCACATGTTACTACCCTCGGACGCTGAGACTTCTTACCGCTATCCTTATTCTTCGGTGACATTTTACCTAGTTATATATATTTTCATAAACAAAGATAATAAAGTCATTGACATAAATATATATTCATTGACAAATTCAATATATACATGTTCAATAGATATTCATTAATATTACATTAAGTGATTAATTAATCTAAATCTTCATGCTCATTATCCATATCATGTTCATCATCCGATGTAATATTGTCCTCGGATTCAAACTCTTCATCATTGTCTTCATCCACATTATTATCAACCAACAATATAGACGCATCAACTTGAAGTCCCTCAACAGTTGTATCAGACAAAGTTGTAATATCTTCAGCTGCAACCACATCATTAATTTGTTCAACGTCATCAACTTGGTAGGCAACATCTTCCACTAGATCTCCAGTTTCAATATGACCTAGCGATTTTGTTTTTATTACAACACACCATCCTCTTTTACGTATTACAAATGAAGGATAAGGAACATAATAAACTTGCCTAACAATATGTGACATTATGAAAGGGTCATATTCTTTGTATCTCCGGTTCATTTGAATCTCGACAGAACCATATGACTTGTCTATCTTTGTGCCTCTAGTTGGATCATACCATTCACAATAAAACAAGACAACTTTATTTTTCGTGTCCAAGTAATTGTATACCAACTCGTAGATATGTTTAACAAATCCATAGAAGTCGTCTTCACCGCCATCTGTAACTCCTTTTACAAAAACACCACTATTTATGGTTTTTTTCCCTTCGGTCCATGCCTCAGTGTGAAATTTATATCCGTTCACGAAGTATGTGTGCCAATCATTTGCGCTTTGGATAGAGCCTTCTGCCAAGTTTCTCAAATGGAGTATTTCTGGAGTTAGTGCAAGAACGCTAGACAATGTTTGCTTGAACCATGAGGGAAATTGAGCATGAATGACACCTGATGTTGACTGTACCCCGGTACTATGAAAATAGGCATTGTTAAATTCCCTACAAAAAACACACAATAAGTTTAATAAGTTTGGTATACACACACCATAAGTTTAAAAAGTTTTGGTAAACTTACTCAAGATATGGTTTAACTTCAACGCAGTTGATCGAGACATGGACATGTGCAGATTGCATTTCTTTTTGGGTCAACCAATGCACACCCTTCTTTCCAGAAGGTCGACCTGGAAGCGCAAAGACTGATAAGGTGAATTGACTCCTCTGATTGACATTTACAGGACTCCAGACATTGATCAGAAACATTCCAATTTGACTTGGCGGCCAATAATCTCACACACATTGATAGCTTCGAGTCTGAAGACCCCTCAAACAACGGCGTATTCATCTCGTTCAATAATTGATAAAATCTTTGCGCTTCCTCATTCGGAAACTCTTCCCCGTCAAAATCTTCAGGTTCATCATATGTCACGTTCACACCAAAAGCATCCTCAACCATGTCACCGATCAAATTAAAGTTCTCCTCATACTCCATAACCGGTCGACTACTTGAAGCATGCGTGTTGCTAGTCTCTGGTACATTAACCGGTAGTTCTTCACCATTATACGTCCAAACCCAATAATTTTCAATGAATCCCCTTCTATGCAGATGACGTGTTACTTCCTTTGGGTCACTAATTATTGGTCTACATTCACATTTAAGACAGGGACACCTAACCCCTCCTTCGCTTCGACAACAATCCTGAGCAAACGCCCACTTAATAAACCCATCAACTCCTACTATAAAATTGGGTTTAAGTCCACTTCTTCCTGGATATGTTCTATCGTACATCCAACTGCGATAATACCGATAATATTCCATACTGCACATTTATACAATCATTGTCTTTTTCATTAGAAATATTAATCAACTTAATAATATTATTCTTAAACTATTTAATACTATTCTTAAAAATATAAATTTTACTTTTTTATATATATACTAACATATAAATAAATATTCAAATATAAAATATATAATTTTTTATTACATAACAATAATATCAAAAAACAATAATATAACATATTTACTTTTTATTATATATACAACAATAATATTAGAAAACAAATAATGTAACATATATACTTTTTATTATATATATAACAATAATATTAAAATAATAATATAATATATATATTCTTTTTTTAATTATGTTTTTTATAAATTCTTATTTTAATATATAATTTTTTTTTCATATCTTTAACATATAAATAAAAAAATAAAACTATTATAATAAATATAATATACATTTTTGTTTTTAAATATATTATTAAATTTATGTGTTAACATATATATATATATATATATACATCTATAAAAAATAAGACTTTTAATTTTATGTTTTCTAAAATTTTTTATTACCAGTACATATACTACTAACAAAATACATATACTTCCTAACCACAAAATACATATACCACTAATCTATATAATACATATAAAATCTATAAAAAAATGCATAAATACCTCTATATAATTTCTTCACTAAATTTGCTTCTTCTTGACTCTTGGTGTTCTTCTTCAAATTTCTCTACAAATAATGAACAAATGAACAAATACCCTTTTTAATATTTCTTTCCAGTATAATAAATAATGAACAAACGAAATAAACATTTATCAAAATATGAATACCTTATTTTTCTTCAACAATTTGGGATGGAGGAAATTTGATTCGGGAATTTGGGTTTGAGAGGAAGAAGAATGGGTTTGAGAGGAAGAACAAAGGAAGAGGAAAGGAAGAAGAAAGCAAAACAACGCTGCTGTAACGGATGAAAATTTTGGAGATGTAAAGTCAAGTAGCGACGTGACTGTCACGTCGCAACATTGCCACATGATAATCACATCGCTACACACTAAACAAAAAAATTATTCTCTCTCCCACTCTGCAACCCTGTCATCAACCAAATTTATTTTCCCCCCTTTAATATAGCGACGTGGCTATCACGTCGCTACCAAAATTCAAATTTCCCCCCTTCTGTAGCGACGTGTAAGACACGTCGCTGATGTTTTTACTTTACAACGTTCTCTGATTTGCATTATTTGTCATTAAAATATATTAGCGACGTGGTTATCACGTCGCTACTACTCACGTGATAATCACGTCGCTAATATATGTCGCTGGGGACATATATTCTTCTAGTGAGTAATTGGGATTGAAATAAATTCTTCGCCCACCACCTGGCATATAAATCGTAGCTATAAATATTTAACCTTTAGAATTGTGAAGAATATTCATTTTTCATAAATTATGCACTCTAAAACTCGGCGCTGCTTACCATAAGAATCCTCAATAGGTCTCATGTGAAAACGCCCCATTTTTCCTCTTTTTTCAACAAATTTGCGGGGGTCGAAAACCTCCAAAGAACAACTCCCACTATTTATTTTTACTATTCATCTAAAAAGTGTACTGTTTGTCATTATTTTGCGAGTTTTTATTTTTCTAGAATTAATAGTCCCGCTATATGCTTTGAAAAAAAAAACTGCGGGAATCACATAGCCACTCATTGTGAGAGAGCTATTGAAGTCTCTCACCGTAGACGGCACTCTAAAACCATCAACCCTCCTTTTCTATTCCACACAAGCATTTTGCACATCATTATATTTATCGCATGTAAATTCCGTTAAAGCTCGACAAATTTTAAATAAAATCATTATATTTTATTTCTCATATATTACATCTCTAATCTGTATGAAATTTCTGCATGGATATTCTAAATTATTTATTTTTTTAAAAATGTGAAATTAAAATTTAGAATAATAGCTAAAAAGAAGTGGTAAAATATCTCAACCTGAGCACGAAACAAAAAGTAAAGAATATGGTCTTGTGAAACTGCATGTCCTTTTCTGTCAAAATATATTAGCAATAGAAATGACATTATCATAAGAATAACCAAACAAGAAAAGAATAAAAAAAAATTAAAAATCAGTTAACAATCTGGCATTTGTCCGTGCATGCATATATACGTATACCCCAAATTACCCTTAAATGATTTCAATATACAAGGAAAACTCATGGGAGCTACAAAAATATCCCAAACATGAATTAGGGCTTTATTGTCTTTGTTCATGCAATTATAAAACTGTGTTTTTTTTTTAACAATTACTAAGAATGATACTTAAGTGGTTTTTTTTTTTTGTTTCATGAAAAAAATAAACATTTAGTGCAAAAATTTCTCATGAAAATGTTATATTAGAGGCATATAGTAAACTTCATATGATATCTAAATCTATGTAGGGTCTAAATCATATAGTGAGGTCTTGGAAATTTCGAAATAATGAAAGTTGTTTGAATTAGAATTAATAATACTGTTTACGTTGAAAATAATTTGCTTGAATAATTTCTTACGACACACACTTATTTTACGTCGAAATTTCATATATTGTTTGACCTCCACACACATCTTTGAGGTGTATGAAATGGATAACTTTGGTCGATTTAATCTCCAATGGGAACTATTATTCTATTTGCAAGTGGGAAAGAACCGAGTAGAATAAAAGGATGTGTAACTCTTTATAATATCTCTCATATCCAATATCAAACTTAGTTATAGTTTTAGCAAAGTGTTAACAAATTTCCCTACCAAAACAGAATGGAGGATCTTGGTTGGTTTGCTACAAATGGGAAAAAGGCAATGGAAGAAGAGCTTATAAGAGGACGTGACATGGCAAATCAACTACTTGAAGTACTTACTTTTGATGATAAATCTAACATTAGTAGACAAGTCAAAGGGTCAAACTCAAAATCATCAAAACTCTTACCCTTATCTATTGCTCAAGATCTTGTTCGAGAGGTACTTAAATCATTGACAAATACACTTTTATATTTGAACAGTAGACAAGACTCCAATGATGTTCTTATAACAGTTAGAGATTTATCTTTCTCAACTAATTGCCCTAAGATGGACGAGTATGATGGAGCTTACAAACAACTCAAAACTCTAAACACCGAAAGTCCAAAAGTATCGAAAAAGAGAAAGTAAGAATTATTATCCATGTCTAAACTTTTTTTTTTTTTGTTATGAAAACCCTAGGTGTAAATAAATTAGTGTCTTTACTTCCTAAATCCTTCATCTTTGTCACTTCCTTCTACTCCCACTCTCTCAAGTCTGAACTCTTCCTTCTTACTTTTCATCTCTCTCTATTTTACTACAAACTGATTGTGCAAAAACTTTGAGCTTCTTTTCCTTTTTCTACAAGTAAGTTTTCCTTCTGTATTCAGGTTTGTTTAGGGTTTAGATTTTTTGTAGTCCATGTTTCACTTCTTTTATAGAAATTGTATAACTTGTATGTGATGAAGCATGTCTTTTATTTATTTTTGATAGGCACACAATATGTTATTTATGAATGATATGATGCTATTTCTAGGTTACGATATATAGCAAGTTATATTTCATAACTTACTTATATTTCATATATAACTTGCTATAAGATGAAAGTAAAGAGAGAAAGTTATATAACTTGCTAGTTATAGGTTTATATACATACCACACAATATGTTATTTATGAATTATATGATGCTATTTTAAGGTTATAATATTGCAAGTTATATTTCATAAGTAACTTATATTTCTCATATAACTTGCCAACTTTATATATTTACGATTAGAAAATTTTCTTTTAGTGATTTTAATTATTATAGAGATCGAATTAACTACTAAAATTTTATAATGAGTCAATTTTAAGAGATTACTAAGAACGTGTGTTAAGAAATTCATAAATAAAAAATTTGTGTTAAATAGAAAATTTGTTTTAAAAATTGTGGATTGACTTATTTTAGTCTATAATAAATATTTTTTTTATTTTTTTTTTCAACACAATTTTTAATTTATGGTTTCTTATCATTATCATGTGCCTTTAACACACAAATTAACATTATCTAACTTGTAATCAAGTACTTAGTCTTTAATAGAAAAAGAGTTTTCACTGAAAACGAATCGATTAGATACTATCCGAATTAATTTCTTAATTTGATTTTTTGGTGAAAATGAGATTTGTTCATTGAATCTTCATTCTAAACCACAAAATTAATTCTAGATGAAAGTAAGATTTAGATATTGAATAGTGTCTGCGAATTAGGGAATCAAATTAATTGATTCACTATACTGCTTAGCTAAACCAAAAAGAATAATTTTAACTTGTGATTTTTCGATTCATATATACATATGTTATTCATGAATGATATGATGCTATTTATTGCAAACAAAATTAATTAACACCAAAATAAAATTAATGACATGTAGTTCAAAAGAATTATTGTGCATAAAAAAATTTAATATGTTTATAAACTACATATAATTAATTTTTATTAATATTAATTAAAATATTCAAAAAAATTCAAAAATAATACTTATATTTAAACTCTAGCTTGGATAATTCATGTGTGATTGAATACTCAAACCGTTAATATAAACTTATATTTTTTGTCTTGGTATAAAAGAAGACTCGTCTTCAAGATATTTAACGCATGCTATATTTTCTGAATTGATTTTAAATTCAAAGTTTCAATTAAATTGAAAAGATATATATTATCTCTCCAAAAAATGATCTTGGGTCATACTTATAATATTTAGTTCATCTCTCTGATTAAATCTCAAAACCCTTTTTCTTTAAAATATTGTTTTACTACTATGTCCAAAATACCCCTCCCTTAAGAAAAAAAAATGAAAAAAAAAAAATACAAGTATAGAGAAATAAACATTTAATAAAGAATAATTTTATTTAGAATAATAAAAAATATTCATCATTAATATATTTTTAATTCTCATATATTATAATAATATTTGTATATTTATTATAATTTTAATTTTAATATGCAACACAACTTGGTATCCACACATATAAGTGGTCATCCTTATATTATTATGAAAATAATTGATTAAAAACATCATTAATGAAGTGATAGTTTTGTCTTGATATAAGGTTATCTGCACCAACTTGGGAAAGAACCACCTCAATATTGATTGATGATGGTCATACATGGAGAAAATATGGACAAAAAACGATAACAAATTCCAAATACTTGAGGTATAAGTCAACTTCATAATTTCCATACATCCACACATAAGAAATAAAGACTAGTCAAACATAATTTTAATATTTTTTTATACGTCAGAACAATCTATGGCATTCAATTTAATAGTTAACATAAAAGAAATTAAGTTTAAAATTTTATATAGTTGAAAACTTAATTGATGATATTTATATTATGCATGCAGGAACTACTATAGGTGTACGCACAGCGATCAACGTTGTGAAGCTATGAAACATGTTCAAAGAATTCAAGGGAATCCTCCATTGTATAAGATTTCATATTATGGTTATCACATTTGCAAGAGCTATTTTCAATCAAATATAATTTCTAAACCCGTTTCTTCATCTCACTCTTCTATATTACTTTGTTTTGATAACAACATTTCAAGTAAACAAGAAGATATGTTACGACCGTCACCACCATTGCCGCCACCGTCACCACCATTGCCGCCACCATCACCACTTGTTGTATCTTCAGAAGGGGATCCTGTGGAAGTAATTAAAGAGGATCATTTTTCTCAAAATCAGTTTTTGCTTTCTGAGGGCCTCCAATTATGGGAATCTGATGTTTTTTTAGAGTTGTTGAGAGATGTCAAAATGTTATAATCGAGTGGGTCTTTTTAATTTTAATGTTTGTGCTTAGTTTGAAATTTGAAGATAAAATATGTTTATACAATTATAGAGAACATGCAACACTAGGCTCTCCGGGTTAGAAATGTAAGCATTTATTTGATGGTGAGAGTTGAAATTATTAGAGATAAAATTAGTTATTTAGTTCATATTAGAAATGTAGTTAGTTAGATAGCAGTTAATACTAGAGATGCAATTTGTTAGTTGTCATATTTGCCTATATAATCCTGTTGTAAGATCTTCATGTAGCAATATATATCAATCTCATTATTCCAATATACTTTTCTCTCATACTTTATGTTTTTTATCAAGAATTGCAATAGAATTATTATTTTTTTATAAGCAAAGGGATCTTATTAAAGAGCACAAGGGATGCTTAATTCATGGTTATATAAAGAAAAATTTGGGGCAAAAAAAAATCCACCTGAAACAACCAACAACAAAAAAAAATCCAACTAGAATATCACCCCAAAGCCTCTCTCGGATCGACACATCAATCCGATCAAGACAAAGAACTCCTAATTTTAAAACACAGAAATGACCAATCCCACGCAAGCAATTTTATCAAACCCACCCCGTCAATATTTGACAAAATGAGTTCTTTAAAAAGGATATCATTCCTACATTTCCAAATTACCCAACAAGTAATTAACCCAAATAACCAACCCGTATTGAAGACAAAAGCTAACTTACAAGAATGCTCCAACGATAGAAGACGATCCAAAAAGCGACAAGAAAAAGAAGAATCGTCAATCTGAAGGCAAAGACAAATATTGTTCCACCACGCCTTAGAAACGGTGCAATCACAAAAGAGATGATCAATATCTTCCTCCACGCCAAAACAAAGAGGACAAACCAAGTTACGCACCCTTCTCAACACCCCGCACTTGAGAATCTCTGACTTTGTTGAAAGTCTATTCCAAATTAATCTCCACCCAAAAATATGGATTTTACTAGGAACCTTAGTTTTTCTTAAACTAACCCAAGCCAAAGAAAGTTGAACATCCAACTCTGAAGATCGTGATTCATTTTTCAAAATGCAATCATAACAATTACTAATAATGTAACCATTACCTTTCCTCCACCAACCAAAAGAATCCGTAATAGAATACTGCGGTTGAATCGGAAGCAACAAGAGCAACAACTCCTGAATCTGAGCGACTGCTTTCCGAACATCAGGACAAGACCGCCACCGAACGGACCAAACCCAAACACCATCAACCCACTGCCTCATATGAGAAACCTTCAGATAAAGCGGATCCCCCAACAAAAACAAATTCAGAAATAAAATACGAAGAGGTAAAGGACTAATCCATCGATCACGTCAAAAATCAATGCAAACACCATAACGATGTTTGCACGAGATAGAAGAAGTAAACCAATTGGCCAACGGTTCTGAATCCAATCTCTCGACCGCACAAAGATCCCTCCACCAAAGTGACATTTTACTTCACAAATAAATTCTCGAGTCTCCAAGCATAGATGTTTGGATATCTCCATACCTACAAGAAAGATGGTTAGTCCAAAAAGAATTATCCTCATTCAAAATACGCCACTTCCACTTGCTAAGAAGAGCCAAGTTGATTTTTCAGCAATGTTTCACACCAAGACCACCATCTTTCTTGGATAAAAATAATAATATCCTTACCAATCCAACTAATCTTCTTCTTCACTTCATCACCTCCCCAGAGGAAAGATCTTTGAAGCATGATAATCTTCTTGATAATAGCTTTAAGAGCCTTATATAAAGAGAACAAAAAAATCAGAATACTATACAACACCGAATTCAAAAAGACCACTCTTCCACCAATTGATAAATTTCTATTTATCCAATCACCTAACCTTCTTCTTAGCTTAGACACAATAGGATTTCACACATCTCTCCTCCTTGGATTGATCCCAACTGAGATGCCAAGAAAGACAAAAAATAATAATTGATCTCACAATTAAGAATAAAGAACGCCGCTTGGACAAAATCTGGATCTAAAATAAACCCCAAAATCCTACTCTTACTCAAATTAACCAGGAGCTCGGAAGCTAACTCAAAACAATGGAGGATGGCCTTAAAACATCAAAGGTTGTCCCAAGAATCATCCTCTACCAAAATAGTGTCATCGACAAATTAGAAAACATCAAAGTAAGAAATATAAGAACAAGATTGGTTCTGCATCTGATCTTAAGTTTTGATGATAGCTTTACATGGTATCTTATAGAGAAATTGTATACTCTAATGGTTTCTTTCTAGTGTGTAACTTTTATTAAACATGTTTTGACTCTGGTAAGAAGGTGTGTGATGTCATCAGGTTCTGAACTCAATACTCTGGAAGAGTACATATGGTGTGTTACAAGTTAATTCAAGGTTCTGGAATGCTTCTTTTGCAAAGGATCTAAGGAATGTTAGTAAAAGAGTTTCTGATCGTGACTTATGCAAGGAAACTTTGGAGGCCTTCTAAAGCTTTACTTCTGTTATTCCAAGTTCTGAAGATACTGAAGACAAGGTTCTACTGAACAGGTTCTAAAGATCTGAAGACATTCTTCTGAAGACCAAGTGTTGAAGACTCTGAAGGCAAGGGTTCTCTGAACAAGCTCTGAAGACTCAAAAACTTAGATTCTGAAGATACAAAGTTATGATCCTTCAACAACATGCTTCATCAACATACAAATTAGAAGCCTCGGAAGATATAGAAGACAAAGATCAAGGCTAAGGGATTGCGCGTGATAATGAGCATAAAAGTACAAAGTACTCTGTGACCCATACTCTAATAGGGTGGCTTGAGGATAGACCTTTTATACTTGTTATTTGTAATACCCCAATTTTAATAATTAGTTATATATTTTATTAATTAGTTATTTGTCTAATTTTTTTGAATAAATGATTTAATTTAAATTATCTGATGTATACTCTATGTGACGGGTTAGTAGGGGTGAGATTATCGAACCGTTGAGTTATCTTCTGGAAATGATGTCGGTTAGTGAAGGATTAATTAATTAGTGAGAATTATAGAGAAATAGTGAAATAATAATAATTACGCTTAATTGTGATAATATGAAGAGTTAGTGGGGTGTGTGATAATGAGCTCATTAACTTGGTCATTGAAATTAGAGTTAGTATTATTTTATTGGTGGTTTAATATAAAAATAAAATAAAAGGTTAGTGTAATGGTAGAAAATATTGAGACTAAGCTATTGGATTGACTTAACTCATACATATCAAATAAAAATCGCCACCCACTTTATCGTTTTCAAAGGAAATGGAAAAAGAGCGAATAAACCCAAAAAGAGGGGAAGAGTCTAGGTACGGGGGTTGGTTATGCAAAGGGAAGGTATTAAAACCCTAAACATCTACGATACTCCGCAGGTACCTCTTTGAAAATATGTGTATTTTGGCTATAAAAGGTGTATACAAAATAGAGGGTTGAGATGAGAAAAAAAGTATTTTTTTGTAATTTTTGCACCTGCCATGATTGTGAACCTTTAGTACCTACGTACCACCTTTCATGCAATAGGGGGATCAGGGTACTCATAGTTCACCTTAAAAATTTTAAAACACATGTGTGTTGGTTAATTTTAAGAGAAAAGACATCATCGTCATATCCGAGTGGAAAACATACTTACTACCCACAATTATGAGAAATGATCATTTGCATCATCTCAAAGTGGAGGATATAACTTGGATTTAAAAACCATCACTCAACACCCAAGTGGAAAATAGCCCTCTTCACTACATATCATAGAAGTATAGTAGCTTGTGTCACTACAAGAATTGACAAGAGTCTAATCTTTTGAGAAAAGTTTTAAAGTAAAAAGCCAAAGTGGCAAAATGGTTTGAATGAGGTTAATGGCTTTTATTCTTGAGAAAGATGTCAAAGTACGATTAAATTGATTAAAGTTTGATTATGAAAAGATTTTTTAAAATGCATGAACCTAAGTCCAACTTTATTATGAAAGCGGTTCAAGTTTGAAAAAACAAGAAGAGTTTTGAAAAGGAGGGAGAAGATTTTTGAAATTAAAGAAGATGGGAGGAGATGAAGGGACTATCCTAAATAAAAAATCCAAGGAAAACAAAGATCTAACCAAAAAGAAGCCGACACTTGACATGAGAAGTCAATGTAGATCTAACCAAAACCAAGCAAGCAAAAATACTAAACTTAAGAGGATTAACTAGCTTCAGATGAATTAAGAATCAAGCAACGTCTTTATTGACAAAAATATACCAGAGTAACAACTGTATACAGCGGAATTCTTAATCACAGACAAAGCATGAAAATCAGAATAATTTGCACACAGAAAAAATCAAACCAATGCCTTGGAGTAAACCCCGAGAATTTCATAAGATCCTCACAAAAATATTAACCAAGGATTACAGAGTTTCAAGGTCTCAAAGTATCGAGGCTTCTAATCCTAATTCCGAGAGATCCACAACTCCACAATGTCAAGGATAGTAACTAAGTAGTCTAAGTAACCTTAAAGCTTTTAATGTTCAATTTGATTATTAAGTGTCTTTAAAATAAAATAAAGCTCAAGTGAGCAAAGAAAAAATGACATAAAAAATAAATGCTTAAGTGAACAAAGGAAAAGATGGAATGAAATGTAAATGCTCAAGTTGAAAGACCATCTTGAAGCTTGATTTTGAAAACTCATAGAAGATTGATAAAATCAAAGTATCTCAATAACAAGTTTCATTTACTTTTTGTCAAGTATATCATTCTTTTCAGATACTCAAAGCAACCACATATGATCAACGATGTTCAAATGATTCACTTAGACCAAATTTCATGAAGTTCATTAGAGGATTGATAGAATCAAAGCCTCCTAACAATGAACTTCAAAATTATTGGATCCAAGGTTTCAAATTAAACATACTTGGGCTTGCAAACATAGGTTTGGGCCACGAATAATCATTTTTTGAATCAGACTCAATTTAGCGCTATGTTAAGCAATTATAAGTGGACTTATGTAGAAGTCACACCTATTTTGAGGCGGGTAAATAGTAATATATGTACCAAACATGTTAAAGAAATAATATGTATATCATTCTCTAAAAACATGTAGCACAAGTAAAAACAAGAAAGGGATAAGATGAAGAGGGAGAGGAATGATATTGTAATCAATGTATCAGATGAAATTAGGGTTTCAAATATCATCAACATCATTCATCCATTTGGTGGATTTGGTTTTTCAACCTATCAACATCCAAGATCTAATGAGGTTGAGGAACTTGTCCCAAAATAACACTCAAGTGTCTCCAAATCATGACCAATAAAAAATAATAAAAAATGTATTTAATATAAATAAATTTTTAAAGGTTTTATAAAAAGGAAATAATTGGTAAAATACACAACATGTATTAAAGCACCAAATACAAATTCTAAAAAAAATTAGAGGTCAAACAGGAGTCAACAAGTGTTGAAGAACGAGACGTATGTCATCTTCAACCTTCAGACCCTTGCGTGTTGGGTTTTTATGAGATTCTTCAAACGGAATTGTTTGAAGCTCAAACCGGTATCATCGGATTCGTCTCTTCCAGACGATCCTAACCTCACCCTCGCGAAAATTTTCTTTAAACCATAGCTCAGTCAATTTGGAAAAAACCAGAAGAAGAAATTAAAAAGGGATTTAAAAATTCACGAGCAAAACTCACTTCCAGTTAAGAACAAATGATGCTATGAGCATCAGAGTGATGAGAGCTACATTGTAGCAACAAGTTTGAAGAGAATTGGTGGAGTAATTTTCCTGTTGAAACTCCACTTCAGAGCTCTAAAACTGGACTTGGTGAGCTTGATTCAGTGCTCGATTCTTAGTGGTAAGAGTAAGGTTAGCTTCAAAGAAGTTCAATTAAGCTAACTGAATCAAAAGAAATGAATGAAAGAGCCTTTAAAGGAGAAAATGAATTCGAAAATTTCAGAGGTTTTGTGAGGTTCGGGCAGAGCTTCTTTGGCTATCCAAGCTTGTGTAGATGAGTGGAATGTGTCCCTTATTTATAAATGAGCATGGCAAAAACAAAAAGTGAGAGAAATGATCATGTATGAGTGGAATTCGTGTGCACTTGCATCATTAGGAAAGTGTGACTTGTGATCCATCAAATCTCACTCAATTCATGCGTTTTGATGCTTAAAAAGTCTGAATAAGTTTGTTAATCATGTTTAAGTGAAAAATGAGCACAAAATTGATGATTAGAATTCACATTAAGAAAATCAAATTCATACTTCAAGCAAAAACTCAGTTTCATGGAAGCAACTTTAAGAGCATGGGGCACACAACGTAAGAGGCTTTATGGGATGATTCTTAAAGTAATGGAAAGATCTCACAAAAAACATCACAATGTGCCAAGAGGGGTAGAATTTGGTGATCTGAGCTGAAACTTATGATCAATTGAAATCGTGAAAAACAAACTGACTTTTGTACTTAGAAATATTTCTAAGTGCTAAACATCAAAATAACCTATAATGTTCTTCAAAGTTACATGCCCTTCCACTCAAAATTTGATCTTGATCCTTGAAGATGAAATGAAGTAGACCCTTTTAATTGAATTATGGAGTTGAGATCATTCAATAATAAAAAAAAATGAAAGAGTTATAGTCTTTGGAAGATGATGAACAAATTTGGGGAAATTCACAAAAGACCTATAATCTTATCAATTCTTTAACAAATATCTAATCATTTTCAATTCTTGAATATTTAAACACAGTTGTAATAGACATCCAAAAGA